TTATATTACTTAGGCTAAAAAAAAGTAGAAATGAACCATAATAAATATTGCTACCTTTTATATTCTATTTTCAAACATCACTCCTCAAATACAAAATAGTAGAACTTTCTTTGAGGATGGTTCTCCTGTCCTTGTGAATTTATTTGTTCTCTAAGCATATCTTGCTTCTTTCTCTAAGCATTTCTTGCTTCTTACTCTATCTAACATTATTATTTTTTTTAAATAGCCTTTGTAGAATTTTTAATTGATGATTGAGTTTTCCTATCCCTAATATCTTTGCTGCTGTTGTGAAGTGCTGTTGAGTGGATGCTGACTCATAGTGACCCTATGTAGGGTTTGAACTGTTGACCTTGCAGTTAGCAGTCCAGTACTTATCCTACAGTGTCACACTTGGAAACCAAGCATCTTTATGTCTATCGGACATAATTTCAATTGTTTTGCTTAAATAATCTCATCAGAAATTCAGTTATATAGGAATCTATTCATACACTCATTGTTTTTCAGAAGCATCTCTAGTATTACTGTTAAAGACATTCTGATAGATTCATGACTTTCTCAGAATTGTTTCTAATTCATTACCTAGCAAGACACACTTCTAAAGGCCAGTCAGCAGTTTCTGTACTTTTAAAGAGAGTATGGATATTTTCTCTTCATTCCCAAACTTGAGTCCTTTATTTTCCAGAATGAGCTGGTCTTATTTCTTCCCAACTCATAGCAGGTAGGATTTTTCTTACTTATATCAGTAGATTTTCCAAATGAGGAAGATACTTGAAATTAGTACAGCCAGAGGCTGTCCAATGAGTATTTTTTGTTTTTTTCTGTTTCTTTTGGAGAAGTTTTTGTGAGTACTTGTATGCGTGATTTAATGGAAACAAAAAGATGTAAACAGTAGTGGATAAAAGAAGAAGTAGAATTAATTTAAAATACATGGAACTTCCTCACTGGTAATTTAAACTAAGGCAAACTGTTATTTTCTGCTCAAATTTCTGTACAAGCATCTAATATTTGTGAGCATATGTTGAAAGGGAAATTCATTTATAGCAATTTCTTTGGAAAAAAATTTGACAGTGTTGATCAAAGCTGGCAGTTGTTAGATGCTGTTGGGTTGGTTCTGACTTACAGTGAAAAAACTGCCTGGTCATTACTGCAATTATGTAGCCCTGTGCTTATCCTACAGTGCCACATCATGACTCCAAATCCTAATTCTTGCTGTTAATCACTGTGGAGTCATTTCCAACTCCCAGCCATCTTTTATAGGGATACGGAGCTTCAAAGTTCAGCGCTTATCCTACAGAGCCACCATACTTTCGAAATCCTACTTAGCCCTGATACATTATCATTTTCAGTATCAGATTCCCAATGTCAATTTATATGAAATGGTTTAAGGGATTTGGAAGCCTGAATCTTCTATTTTTGAAAAAAGACTAAAACAATCACATTATTTAAGAATGTCTGTCTCTGTCTCTCATTCCACATACACGCATACATTTATATACGTTGTTGCTGAGTACCTTTGAATCTGTTCGGACTCATAGCAAATCTGTATAGAGTTTCCAAGGCTTTTAAAAAAATATTTTCAGGATCAGAAAGCCTCATCTTTCTCCCTCAGAGTAGCTGGGAGGTTTGAACCATGGGCTTTGTGGTTCACAGTCTAGTACTTATCATATGGAATATATAGCATTTCCAAATTATGGGAGAAATTAAATATTTTTTCAAGATTACATAAAGATAGTACTTGAATGTTTCCTACTCTACCAAAGTTGGAACATATTTGGTTGTTAATAATCTGGATGGGATTGTACAGAGATGAACCACCCAGTGTATCTGCACGCATGTAGGTAAGCATGCCACTCTTCTTAGTTATTATATGCAGACAGTTTATGTGAGCTATTATGTTGTCATTAGCTGCTGTTGAATTGATGACAGACTCATGGTGACCCAAAGTAAAGCAGAATGAAACATTGCATGACCTTCTGATAGTGTATGATCTTTTGTCTTTTCCAGTCTATTGTTGTGACTCTTTGGTCGGTCCATCTCATGAATGGATTCCTTCTTTTTGCTGATTCCCCAGCTTACCAAACATGACTTTTTCTACTGATTGGTCTTTCCTGATGACCAGTGTTTAAAGTAAGTGAGCCAAAGTCATGTCATCCTCCTTGCTAAGGAGAACCATAAGGAGAGAGCCCTATAAATATGCTCTTAGACTCCTGGTGTTGTGCTGTAGGCTAAGTGCAGGACTACAAAGTTGGTTTGAACCACAAGGTCAGTGGTTTAAACTCACTAGTTTTGCCTCAGAAATCCTATATGGACAGAGTTGCTATGATTCAGAATCGATTCAACAGCACTTAGCAACAACAGAGGGAAACAAAAAAACAAATTAATGATTCTAAACTGGAAAGTGGCTTCCTTTAAAATGTTTTGAAAACAAAATGTTTTGAAAACAAAATTTCATAAAAGTGCAACATTTCCAGTCAACTTTCCACACCTAGTTTGAATTTTTTCTTATAATCTCTCCCTTTTGATCTGTCTTAATGTAAACTCTTGGTGTGGCACTGTAGGATCAGCCCTGGACAGCTAATCACAAGGTTGATGGTTCAAACCTACCAGCTGCTCCTCAGAAACCCAATATGACAGGGTTACTATAAGTCAGAACTGACTTGATGGCACTTAGTATCAGCAACAATGCTAACTCCCTTACTAATACATTTTTTTTTTTTTTTAAAGCTCAGTTGTATGTTTCAGTTTATCTTGAACACTCAACTCTAAAACTACTCATCATTTAATTTATTGGCCTTTCCAGTCTTCAAGATGGTTGTAGAATCACAGCAAATGCATTTTCTGTCGCTAATTCAGAATATTGAACGAAACTTGTCAAATTTTCTTCCTCTCTTTCAATTTGGTGATTTGAAACATGGACCAGACTCTGCATCCAAGATGTTTTATTGACAAAAATGAAAGCTAATTTCAACTTTCATGCTGCATCTCGTCAGGCTTTATAGTCATGGAATTAGTTCCCAGAGTTGTTTATATGTGTCTGGAAAACCATGTTTAATTCATCATGTTTTTTAGTAACTTCTTTAAATGATCATGAAACCATTGCGTAATGACTTTTCTTGTTCAAACTCCAGAGTCCTCATTGAATTAAAACAAGGAATGAAAGGAGGAAACACACTAGAATGTTTATTGCATTTGTATGTCTCAGTAATGGGACTATGACTGATTTAAATACATTTTACGTCTTAGAATTTTTTTCTTAATGATTATGTGTCTTCTTGTAATTAAGGAAAGACAGCTCTCATTATATGTTTATCTATCTATCTATCTATCTATCTATCTATCTATCTATCTATCTATCATCTATCTATCTACCTATCCATCTATCTATCCTTTTAAGTTCTCAGTTGGGAATTTTCTTCTCTCTAGGTTTACCTTCCTTAAGTTCATTTTACGTTAATTTTATCTAACACAAATTTCATCTTAATTTTTTGCTCAGGACCCCTTCTATGACTACCATGAATATTATTCATAATTTAGGTGGACCTTTTTAAGGCACACACAATCTCCCATGATATAGTTCTTGTTCCCTTCCTGAATTCTAGGCTTTATCAGAGTCTTTCAGCATTTTAATCTATGTATGCTATGTTATTTCATGGCTCTTTGCTGTTATACTTAGTAGAAAATGATGTCATGTTTGGTAAAGTTAAGAATGAGGTAAGCCCTCAATTGGGAGGGATAGACTGACTCCATGACAGTAATTGACTCGAATGTAGCTACAATCATGACGATGCTGTAGGACTGGGCAGTATTGTGTACTGTTATGCATACAGTCACTACAAGTCAATTCAGTGACCACTTATTAACAATACCATGCACTTATATATGCTGTCCCTTCTGTGTACAATGACTGTCACCCCTGCCATCTTTCTGGTGCATCCTTATTGTGTCATTGTTGTTAAGTGCTATACAATCTGTTCTGACTCAGAAAGACCCTGTGTAGAATTTCTGAGGAACAGCTGGTGGGTTTGAATTACCTACCTTGTGGTTAAACACTTATACATCCTTAAATATAACAGAATTTATATATATACATACATACATATATATATGTATATCTATAACAGAATTTATATTAATCCTATACTTTATATGGACAGATGAAGGATCTTTAATTGTTTCATCTCAGAATGATACGCCATTGCTCACATGTGGAGAATTTGATATATAACATTTAATATCTAAAAACATGTGATGTAAATTATTGTTGTTAAATGCTGTTGTGTTGGTGCTGACTCATAATGACATGGAGTTTCTGAGGCTGTTTAGTCCTGTACAGCAGCTGGTGGGCTTGAACTGCAAGCCTTGGAGTTCGAAGTCCAGTGTTAATAGTGCTTATATTAGTCAGTCTTTGCCATTGTTTCCGGTACACCTTACAGATTTTAGAAACTAAGTAGGATATAATAGACTACTTCACTCTAGTTGTGTTCTACTTGATATTACTGATTCATTGACATTTACATTTGTAATGAAGAAAAATGCACTATATGTTAGAATGCAATATGTTGTTGTTGTAAGAGTTGTCCAGTCAGTTTTGGCTCATAGTGACCCTGTATAGGGTTTCCAAGGAGCAACTGGTGAGTTTGCACTGCTGACCTTATGGAAATTTCAAAATCTCTTTTGAGGTAAGCTAGGCAGATCTAACACAAGAACAGGCCTTTGATCCTTAGCATTATTAGATAGTTGCTACTCTTTAGTAGCTACTAAGGCTTTGCAGCTACCACTGTTTCTAGGTCATTCTATTCAGCTGCATAAGCAATTCCTTTGGTAGATGACTGGTTTTCTCCAAAACTAGCATTATTTCAGCAGGAAAAGGTAGTATTTGATATGTTGCAATTTGTATTACATGTCCATGGAACATCTCCAGATGTTACCTTAGGAGGAGGGGTTAAAGAGAAGGAGGAGCTATGGCTAAGGACATTTAATGACAGAATGAATAGAAATTCAAAGACCGCTGTGCAGTCAGCCTTAAACACGCATCTGCCCCTCAGTGGTCTTTCACATTAATTAAAAATCTTATATAACAAAAATCACTTAAGTATATGTAATTGTATTCAATTTTAGTTGCAAATCAACATCTTCAAAATGACGAGGATTTTGACAGCTTGTAAAGTAGTGAAGACACTGAAGACTGGTTTTGGCTTTACTAATGCACACCACCAATGGAAAATTTCAAGACCTGGCATCAGGCTCCTTTCTGTGAAGGTAATATTCCCTATTCAATTGTTGCTGATAAAACTATGTAGGTGGGGTTTGCAGGGCAGCAAAGGTGTCCTTTGTGAAGCAAATACAAGTTTAAATGCAGCTTCAAATTGTTAAATAATATTTGCTTTACTATAGAACATCCTGATTCAGCAAATGCTGTTTGTTTGTTTTTTTCTTGCTGTGAGTTAAAATCATAGTAGTTTCCATCAAATGTAAGAATGGTTTGCAATTCCTTGTACATGTAAAGTTTAAGTGTACTGTTTAGAAAATAAACATTATTTAAATCTATCTGCCCAGATACCATAGGTCATAGTTTGGGTTCAAAAATGTAGTTGTTTATATGCATATGAGTGGCATCATGGTAGAAAGAGTGATGAGCTCTTTTTTTCCTATTGGTTCAGTGGGAAATTTTCTCTTTGATATGCCAATTTTATTATTTGAAAGAAAATCTGTCTATAGAACACTGATGTTTGAAGGTTACAGTGAAGACACTATGTTTTCTTTTTCCCTTTACCCGCTTATAGTTCCTTTAGAGGGCTGACTTTGTGATTTTCATTTTACAATTTAAGACATTAAGGCCAATAATTGATAATTGAGTCCCACCAACTTTATCTGTAATGAGGGGCAGGCTCAGGAAGGGAAAATTAAGCAACACCCATCCCTGAATTATGAAATTCCAATTGGAATCTCTGACCCTTTCAATAATGTTATGAAGACATTTATTACCTGAGAAGTCTGAAATCACTCCATAAGAACTTTGCTAATTAAAATTAGTGAATCATCATTAAGGAATCCACAGTAGCTTTAAATATACCGATTCATTAGTAGTAAGACTTATAAAAAGTGAAAAAGGAAAAAAAAAAAACACACCCTCTGTTGATTCAAAAAAAAGGTCCTATTTTTTGAGTATTCTGTTTATACTTTGTATACTTACTGAGCTGACTGAAAATCTTCCAGATGCTTCCATACCTACTGGCTCATTTGCTTAAGTCAGGATTCAGTAGGTTTTTTGTCCTGAGTGACATCTGCAGTGCTAATCAATGTCCTTACATTCTTGTAACCTTTACTGGCATGTGGCGTGAGTGAGAAGTCAATGAGGAGTGAAAGGGGAAGAAACAGAATGAGAGATGAGATGGAAAGAGACACAGACACACACAGAAACTAAGAGAGAGAGAACTACCAAACTCCCTAGAGATATGAAAGTGTCATGTTAATGATCTCAGGAGTTTACATTGAGAAGAAGCTATCAGAAATGTAGGAAATACCATTCCAAAATGTAAAATCCAGGAAAAATCATGTCTTTATTTCATGTGATTGTAGTAAAGTAGCTGAAAACATTGCAATTTTATAGATACAACATCTAGATATAAACTAACAGGGTGAATATTTGCATTAGGTTTAATGATAATAATATCTCTGGGGTAGTCTCTAGGTGGCACAAATGAGTTGGGCTGCTAACCTCAAGGTCAACAGTTCAAAACCACTGACTGTTCCACAGGAGAAAGATAAGGCTTTCTACTCCCATAAAGATTTATAGCCTTGGAAACTGTATACATGGTTTTATGAGTCAGAACTGACTCTGTGGCACATAACCAACCAACCAACCAACCAACCAACAAATTAACTTAAAGGTTGATGGTTCAAATCCACCCAGTGGTCCCATAAAAGTAAGGCTTAATGGTCACATCCATAAAGATTATAGCCAAGAAAATTCTATGGAGAAGTTCTACTTTAATGCACAGAATACATATGAGTTGGAATCAACTTGACAGCAATTGGTTTGTTTTTGATTTAGTCATATATCACCTCAGAAAGAATAAGAAAGAGTAATGAAAATAATATATCTAGGGTTATATATGCTTTCTAAGTCTTCAAAGTGGTGTCACTGGAATATATTTTTCTTTTCACAAAAGTCTTGTGAAGTAAACAGTGAGTAGGTACATCTTCATTAGATACCAGACAGAGAGAAATTGAGTAACTACTTAAAGTTTTGTTGATGTGTCTGAGATTAGAAGGTAAATCTCCAAGATCATAATCAGTGTTCTGCACTACAACAACAACAACCACAACTACCACAACCACCACAACAAACTGACCTAATTCAGTGGCTGAACTACAGAGAAAGCTGTTCTAGCTCATGGTGGCAGATCTGTATTAAGGGTCTGCCACAGTTCACAGGCAAGAATGACAAATTTCTAGGAGGAATAAGCCATCATCACGGCATGTAAAAGGCATCACTCACTCTCAATCATTACTGACCACAAGTTTGGAGGGATGCCAGGCGTGAAAAATGGGTGTTATCGAGCTGCACCACAGTGAATGAAAATTCCACACAACAGTCTGAGGGGACTTGTGTTATTTATTCACTTATTTGGAAACAGTCCTCTACTTACTTCTCTTATTGTCTTCATTTTTAAAACTCAACTCTCCTAGAAAACTATATTCAACTTTATTTTTTTGTTTTTTGTAAAGAAGGGTATCATATTTTAAAGGTAGCTAAAATCGTTAAGATATAGTGAGCTATAGAATGATCAGTAAAGGATGTGAGAACAGAGTCACTGAAGGTTAGTACCACTGTAGCTAGTTATGTGGTAAATAGATTGATAGTTGTCATCAGATCTAGAAGCACTGTCCTTTGAATTAAGTTACTTTTTTCAAAGTGTTTGAAGGACATTCTTCCTCTCTCCTTGGGAACAGACTGAGGGAGTGGGTTTGATGACAGCAGTGATGAACCTGCACTTTCACATGGTCCTTCCTTGCTTATCTGGTAGTGTAACGGGCTGCTAACCTCAGGGTCAGCAGTTTGAAACTACCAACTGTTCCATGGGAGAAAGATGAGGTTTTCTGCTCCCGTAAAGATTTACAGCCTCGGAAACCCTGTTCAGGGTCGTTATGAGTCGGAGCTATGAGTCAGAACCGACTCCATGGCATACAACAACAACAACAATACTTAAGAAGCATGCCTTGGCAATAAACAAAATTGTATTTCATGTATAGTGAAAGGAGAGGAAAGAATGTCAAGGCGATTATTTTAGAAGTTGATATCTAGGAGATAAATGAACAACAAACCATCAAATATAAAACTTTTAGAGACCACAATCTTTTTCTATGAGTATTGAAAATGTTTATAAGCACTGGTAGCACAGTGATTTAAGACCTTGACTACTAACCAAAAGGTTGGTGCTTCAAACTCACGAGCTGCTTCTCAGGAGAAAGATGTAGCAGTTTGCTTTTGTAAAGATTTCAGCCTTAGAAACCCTATGGGGCAGTTCTACTCTGTCCTCTGTGTTGTTATGAGTTGTGGCCAACTTGAAAACAGTGTATTATTAGAACTGCTCAGTGTTCACTGACACATTCAGTCAATTGTAACTATGCAGCAGGAAATACTATGAATCAAGAGTAAAGAGATGTGGCTGCTAACCTCATTTATGCATTTACTAAAAGTTGTGACATTGGAAAAGTCAGCTCTCTGACATGAAATTTTGTTACCGGTTGAGTATAAGTAGACTTCTATTTACTCAAAGGATTGTGGTGATTATTATATATACTTGATACATAGAAAGAAATACAATATTTTAAAAGCACATAGTAGATACTTTTTCAAATCTCTGCTCTATACATTTTAGTAGAAAGACTTAGTAGAAAGGTTAGATCAGAATTTGTTTTTCATGGACTACAGATTATTGCAATGACAAAATGTCTGATCAGAATTCTCAAATATTTATAATTATAATTCCTTTCGTCTTAATATGAAACTATTTCTAGGAAGATATTCTTTAAATTGTTTTAGACTCAAGGATCATAAGGAAAATAGTCTTTTTCATTATGGTGAATTAATTTCCAAAGTCAGGAAGTAAACTATAATATCCAAGTTCATTCCTTCACTTGTTGATTCATTTAACAAATAAACCTTGATCCTCTATCACATAATTCTTCAAGAAGAATAATAAATGGAGAAAAGTGAATACCAAGTGGATAGTTCTTTATTTCAAGAAACTTACACATTTCAAAATTCTGAGCTTAAAAGTTTTAGAAAGTCCCTAAGACTAAATAGTTCTATTTTCATTTCTAAATGAATTTAGAAATTAAAGCGATTAAATGGAAACGGTTAAGTTTTCTATGAATCGGAAAACATTCAATAAGTACTGCTTCTAATATTAATCTACTCATTTAAAAAATTTATTACCTATGTTACAATTCAGTTAGGAGCCTAACAGTCCAAGTGTCCTTGTCTCTGGTACTTCAGATAGGAATGAGTCCAGGAGTCATTAGTCCCTTTGCAAAATTTTCATTTTGCTCAGATCTTATAGTCAGACTCAAATATAAAAGCATCTATTTAGCTGAACCAAGAGAAGTTACTGTTATTTGACTAGAAATTGGCAACTATGAAAACTGTTAAATAATTAGAATAATTTAGTTATATTGTAGTAGCTTTAAAGACATTTCTAGAAAAGAGTTCATTATTATAGTGAAGCTTCTTTGCATGTATTGGAAGTAGGGAATGGATAGGCTCAATACACACATTTAAAAATAACTAAGTGGTTACGAATCGGGCTGCGAACCTTAAGGTCAGTGGTTCGAAACTACCAGCTGCTCCGTGGGAGAAAGATGAGGCTTTCTACTCCCGTAAAGATTTACACCCTCGGAAACCCTGCACAGGGTCGCTATGGGTCGGAACCGACTCGACGGCACGTAACAACAACAACATCATATTATTAGACTCTTACTGTGTGCAGATATGTTTCAAAGTTAGATTTCACCCATAATCCAAACTTTTGAAATCATAAATTATGTTCCAATCCCAAATAAATTAATGCATAGGTAGCTTGGATGATTGAGAGTTATACATATTTTCATGGACACTATATCTCTAATTGTGAGATGGAATATCTTTTGAATATTTTTATGTTCTCCACTTTTTTTATTCTCACTTTCTAAAGTATGCTGCTGCTGTTGTTGTTGTTAGGTGCCATCGAATGGTTCTGACTTATAGTGGCCCT